CTTAGCAATCATCTCCTCTAGTGGGTCTCAAACTTTTGATGGGCAAGAATTAGGATGCTCCAGAGATCCTGACTAGGTTGGCAATGATTTTTTCCTAAATGCTACAGGAATTTCTGAAGCCATATCAAAGTTTCACAACCACTGTCTGGATTTAAGCATTTTTTTTTTTTGTTTTTTTTTTTTTTTTTTTTTTTTTTTTTTTACCCTTTACCCATTCGTATTCTCTCCTCCCTCTCACCCCTCCCCCCCATCTTCTGAAGCATTTTTTGAAAGTATATTGATCTTTTTCCCTACAAAGTTCTTCCTGTAGACCACATACGTATTAATTTGGTGTTTTATTTTATTAAAATTCCGATAATTCTCAACAATTGACAAGCCAAAGTAAAATAACTCCATAGAATTATATTCCGGTGATCAAAAATCAAGAAGTAATGGTTTTTCATAATAGAGACACATTTAATATCTTTTTTTTTAGGTTTAGCATAATTTGGGAAAAATTTTTCATCATTCTTAAATTTAATAAATTCCTGTAAGATTTAGATTCACTTTAGTGATAAAAGTAACCAAATTTTGATGTCTTTTCAATACTTTACATCTTATCCTATAAATATCTAAAACTGACATTCTCACTTAGCTATTTCCAGAAATATGTGGGAGGCAGAATACCATGTTTCTGGCCTGAACGACTGTATGATTGGGGAAGCTGTTTACCAAAGCAGAAAACAATGGCAAAGGAGATGGTTTGGGAGGGAAAAAGAGTACATAGTTTGAGGGATCTCTGTAACATTTCCAAGGTGGAGACGTGAACGTATACAACCATGTATGTAAATATAGAGACTTATATGTGCAGGGCAACAAGTCCAGAGTATATATCAACTCTGGGGAGCTGGAGGTGCTAGTGAAGGAAGGACTTCTACTTTTTGCTTTATATACTTCTGATTATTTGAATTTTCTTTCCAACAAGCCTGTTTCACTTGGATTAAAGAAAAGATTTAATACTTTGACAATAAAGAGACTTGGGTTCAGTATAGGAGATATAATGAAGGCCTGAATTAAGGCAGACATGATGGAAAACTGGACAGGTGTGGGGGAAAAACATTAAGTGCTACTTTTATCATAAAATGGTTAGTCAAGTAAAATATTCCAAAATAAAATAAGTCTGTTAGACAAAGCTTGTTTGGTCTGGGGTTAATAGACTTCAGCTGATGAAAATCGCCTTTGTGGGCAGTGTGTCAAACCACATTCTACCTAGAGAATTAAAGAGGACTCTACAAATTGTGTTATCAATTATCTTTAGCTTTATTCTCATAATGAGCACCACCCAGAAAAATCATTATTTCCTATTTTAACAATATGATAATGCAGATACTTAGTATAGAGGGTACTTGCTTTTAAGGGGTGGTAACTTTGCTTCCTATTTTGGCTATTTGGGGGGCATCTTATTGTTTAACACTTAAACCAGAAAAACAGACTCCCACAAAATATTGATTTGGTCTTGGCTTATTGTGTAAATCATTCAACAGCCAAAAGTCTGACTTTAAACACCTAAAATACACTCAAAATGTATTTTCTTCTCCATCAACATGGATGTTCAAAACAGTTGGTTTTACAATCTACAGCTAATAAATATAAACTAATTTAACATAAGAGCATGTACGTTAACCTCAGAATTCTAAGGCTTAGTGTCAAAAACTAATTCATAGAAGGCAACAGCTTGTAATAATGAATCATATAATTCTTCCACTCTGTGTGATTCAGTAGATGAAAACATCTGTCTATAGCGGACTACTTTATCAGCTGGGAAGAACACCCGAGGCTCCGCCTTCAGTACAGACTCAGAGAGGAATTGCTTCACTAGTTCTTTTCCACTAGTCCGAGAGTCACCCATCATCAATTCAAAGTGCTTCCCCACTGCATTTCGATTCATGCTCAGCACTTGATGCTGGCCGTCCTGGGCAAAAGTTTTATTTAATAAGGCATACAGCATGGCTTCCACCATATGAAAATGTAACAGTATAGGAAAAAGAGATGAGTTCTGAATGGAAAGTCCTGTTTTTTCCAGAACATAGAAATCTGCTTTAGGCATCTTTGAAATGACTGAAGAAATCTTAAAAAAAAAAAAAAAAAAAAAAAAAAAAAAAAAAAAAAATAAGTAAATAGAATTTTGCCACAATAAAAAAAAAAGGGCAGAAATAATTCATTAAGTTTTATGTTTGGGTCCCCTCTCTGTCCCACTTCTTTTTAAAAATATTATAATTAGATAGATTATATTGCTATTGACAATTTTGAAATAATAAATGAAAAAGCATTTCATGGGCATTGAAGTTCTGGTCATGGTTCTATCAGGAAGAAGCTGAGCTAAGATAAGCTGTTTAGTCCTAAATACCAGTTTCTTCACCTATACAATGGACTTCATAATCTCTAAAGTCCATATTGGCTTTAATATTAGACAACTTAAAACTGTTAGTAATCTTTAAAATATATCTAAGGTAGAGCATAGGGTTATACTAACTAGCCAAGAATCAGTCACCTCTGCAACTGAATCAATTTTCACATGTATAATCAAGATGGTAATTCTTGCCCATTTCACAAGGTTTTGAAGACTCAAATGAGACAATATGATAGCATTTTGAAAAATAAGCCTTATAAATATGAATGATGATGTCCTATAACATTTAGAATAATATACTTTACTAATGATTTTCTCACTATCTGCCTTTGATATACAAGGCATTGCTTGGACTGAAGAAAGATTCCATTTTTATTTTATTTTATTTATTTATTTTTTTTTTGTCCTTTTTGAGACCGGCCGCACCGCGCTCAGCCAGTGAGCGCTGTGAGCGCACCGGTCATCCCAGCGCCGCACTCTCCCGAGTGCGCCACGGGCTTGGCCCAAGATTCCATTTTTAAAAAATCAAAGGTGACAGAAAACATAATAGGAATGAATGAGTAATAACAAAAGAAAATCCAACCTTACTATTTTATTATATTTCTTTTGGGACTAAACACACAAGGAGCTCCAGCAGGTAGGAATTTGGAGGTGCAACTGCCTTACCTCTTCTAAATAGATTGATGATGGGTATGTTCTGTTCATTAATCTCCCACAGTCACTCTGCTGCCAGTCCAGCACTGCCAATTTACGATCAAGGTGAGCCCAGGCAATTTTTCGGGTACCAAAAACAATAGACACTATACTGTTAACTGCCTAAAAGAAAAAGACTGGTTTAATTACAAGTGTAAACATTTTAAGATATAAAACCTAATCTACAAACTCAGAAAGCCTGATTAGCTTATGTTATATAAATTTATTTATAGTTTATTAACTGAGAATTGTTAAAGAAATGCAGCAGTAATTATTATTAAAAAGTAACCAGCAGCAGTTTACAGACGAAGAATCTTACTCATTCTTAGCACCTAGCCCAATGTAGGTAGTGAAATATTCAAGTGTTGCCAGGGTCTATGCTAGAAACTGGGAAACAAGGAATATAATTGTAATTTGTAAGAAATGCCACTATACAACTGTTACTGTAGAGAGAAGCTGTCAAGGAAGATTTATTGGAGGACTAGGACAATTAGTAAAATGGTAAACAAGTTATTTTACCCAAATGTCTGTAAAGATAGTCTATTTGACACTTCACACTTAGTGGAATAAAGACTGAGTGGGAAAAGGGCAGAGGGGCAGACAGATTTCTGTAAAGATAAATAACTTGCTTTATCCTAAGAGCTACAGGAGGCCACCAAAGCATATAATTTTAAGGAATAATGTAAGATTTACATTTCAGAAATGTCACCGATGGCTGTGTGGAAGATGGAGTGAAGGGGACTAGACGAAAGGTAGGGATCTGTGTTAGGTACCTGTTATAACAAAGTACTTATTAAGAACTGAAGACAATGACAGTGAGAAGAAAAAAACAGATTAGAGGTAGTGATAACAATTGATATATAGGTTGAAGGAGGAGCCTAGGATAATTCCAGTTTAACTCCAATGACCGGCTGGCATCATTAATCAAGATGAAGATAGGAGGCAGATCAACTTGGGAAGATGGGAGGAGATGAGTTGTTTTTTAATGTACTGAGTTTGAATTGCCTACAGGGTTTCTAAGCGGATATATATAATAGATAATCGAATATACAATTTAGCTCCGAGACAAGTCTGAGCGGGAGATATGGCAGTATCACCTCATTCCTGCACAACTCATTTAGTTATACTGACAAACTACTAATACATTCTGTAGATACAGAGGGAGATAAGCAGGAACAATTTATAATTCTATATCCATCTCCCTTTCACTAAGGACTGGATAAATATCTTAAAAGCAGAATAGTTTGGATGCTCAGACATCTGTAAAATAAAGACCTCAATGACTCAAGATTTAGTGTGCATAAGCATTACTGACCCAGGCTGCACACAGTACTTCATGGGCAATAGATTTTTTTTAAAGGATTTTACTGCATGATTTTCTCCATACAAACTGATTTTAGAGTCTTAACCCCTAAACAAGATTCAACTCCTTATAGATATAGCCATGAATTTGGTGAAAATCCTCCCTGAAAATTGAAATATATTCCAGATCAACTGCAGCAGGAGTTCTATCCAGAGTGCATGGATGGACTTAAGGGAATCTGCAAGTCCTCTGAAAGTATATGCAGTATTCTATGTACATGTACTATACATACATACATATATATAATTTTTTTTCTTTTTTTTTAGTGGAGGAGAAGAGGGCCCATAGCTTTCATCAGGTTTTCAAAAAGTATGCATATTTTTCTAAGAAACTGAGAACCAGGGTCCAGAAAAAATTATTGTTATGGGATAATTTTTTTTTTTTTTTTTATAGATGACCAGTAAGGGGATCTTAACCCTTGACTTGGTGTTGTCAGCACCACGCCCAGCCAGTGAGCGAACCGGCCATCCCTACATGGGATCCGAACCCGGGGCCTTGGTGTTATCAGCACCGCACTCTCCCAAGTGAGCCACCAGGCCGGCCCGGATAAGAGAATATTTTATCAAGCAATGTTATACAGGACCTAAGTTTCATCAAAGTTTAAAGTTTGGCTGTTGTGTCAAGTAATTCTAATATTTATCTTTAATGATAACACTAAAAAAGATTTACTTTTAGAAATGCTTTTTAAAGTCGGGGGGGGGGGCAGATGGGGAACAGGAAATAATTTTAAATCCTACTGGAAAGACTGGTATAATGTTCTAAAGTCACTTCTTGGCCATAGTCCATCTTTACATCTTAATTTCTCATTACTCCCAACATAACCCTCAGAAACAGCTAGGTATCCCTACAACATTCCTGTTAAATAAGTCTTGCACAGACTCACTTCTCAACATCAGTTGTCTTTCTACCTAGAATGCCCTCCTCTTCCAGCCAGCCTAATTCTCTCTCCTTCAATATTCACATTGAGTTCTTCCAGTAAACTTTCACCAACAGTCATAGCCCAGTTTTCCCTCCTCTCAATTGCCCATTTACTATCTGTACATCTCATTATTTGGTAGTGATCACACACGACTTTGTGTAATAGGTTCTATTCATGTGTGCATGTTTGGAACCACCAACTAAACCTGAAGAACCTATCTTAGTAACTCCCCAACCCAATGCCCAGCATGGTGCTATACAGAATAGGTTCTCAAATATCAGGCAGTATAACAGAAACTAACAAAAAAGGTATACCTTAAGTCTCTCTCTTTCTATATCTGGTTTGATGAGTTTTCCCAAGAGCCGGTTTTCCTGTGACTTTCTTTTTTTCCTTCCAGTCTCTGGACAAAGAATGTAGTTACACACTTGAACAGTAGTTTTATACTGGAACAAAGGCACATTCATTAAACTCTCCAAATTCTGAAATGGCCCAAACTTTTCTCTGTGCTCTACAATATTGATAGACTTTCTACCACGAAGCAACTTGAAATCTTCAAGTTCTTTATTAGATGCTGTATTCAACACATGCAAGATGGAAGCCTGCTGTTCTTGAGAGAAGAGCTTGTCAAGTGCAGTTCCAGCCTCCTTTGCATTTTTGTCACAAAAAGCAATACTGGGAATAAGTTTCTTAGGTGCAGTGGATTTTTTCCGACAGCAGGAATTATGTATGGCCTGGAATAAGGATGATCCCAATGGAATTGGAAAACATCTCCATCTCCCTAAAAGGAAAATTTAGCAAAATTTAAGTTGGGATGTCATACTTTCTTTTAGTGTCAGTTGCCAGCTCTAACAGATCCTTCGCATAGGCTTTCCCATAATTTAAGAACTAGTGGGCCATATTAAACTCTCCTGGAGAATCATCTTTAGGATTAAACTATATTTTAATATAGCTATATATAGTTAGTTTTTCTTTTAAATAGGGCTTTTTTTTTTTTTTTTTTCTTTTTTGACCGGTAAGGGGATCGCAGCCCTCGGCATGGTGTTGTCTGCACCACGCTCACCCAGTGAGCACACCAGCCGTCCCTACATAGGATCCGAACCCGCGGCCTCGGCGCTACCAGCACCACACTTTCCCGAGTGAGCCACGGGGCCGACTCAGGGCTTTTGTTGTTTTTAAGTCACAAAAGATGTCTTCTGATTTTTATGGATCAGTCCTAAGTTTTACTAACTAGAAATTGTATTTCATGCCTATCAAGAAGCACATGACTTCAACCACTAAACGTTTGTGATATTTTTATTTATTTTGGGGGGGCTGGACGGTACGTGTTTTTTGATCTTTTTTAATTTAGACGGAACTTTTTGTAACTAATATCTCTTGTTAAGATTTATCTTCACTTCCATTTTCATTAATTTCTCATCTGGTGGAACCAAATAAAAACAAATTGTATACGTTTATAAGAAATGTTTTAGCCACGAGATAGATTTAACGGTGTTTTAAAAAATTCTTTTCTGTACACTGTTCAAGATTTCTAACCGTGACTATGTTTTTGCAAGCAAAAAACACCAAAAACCAAAAACCCATACAATTAACAACTTTGTAAAACCGGTGGAAAATCACTCTGCCATCGGAGCCACAGGAAAATGATGCAGCCAGAGAGAGAGAAGCAAGCGGCTGCTAGAATCTGAATCGGCCGCCGCGCACCCCCACGCAAGGGAAGCATAAACGTTCCGAGCTTCGAGGTCCACAACCGCTCCGCCAGCTCAGCGGGGCCTTCAGGAAGCGACCTGGATATGGGACGCGAGAAAGGAAACACTCCAGAATCAGGGGTTAATGGCAGACGAAAAATCCACCCAGTATTTTAGGCACCCTACCTCCTGCCATGAGGAGACTAGGAACGCTCATCTTCGAAGTTAAACCAGCAGAATACCACGGTCACGTCTTCCTCCACTGACTTCCGGTCCCTGGGTGCTTCGCGCAAAAGCGCCGGGCCTGGACTAGCACAAAGGTTCCGGCCGAAGCGGCGTTGCGGACCCGGGCCGAAAGTGCACCGCGCTGAGCAGTTGGGCGGCCGCGTCTCGGCTGGTGACTTCCGGGCGGGCGCCAGCGGAGGTCGTGTCCCCGGGTTCCCAGCCCCTGGGTGGCCCGCAGACTCCTTCCGCCGCATCTGGGAAACTTTCTCTCCCCGACCGGCCCCTGGTAGCGGCTGGGCCGAATCTCCGGGAAGCGAACGCCTCTCCAGTTTTAGCGCGTAGTTTGCACGGTCGCCCCTTGGGGGAGACCGCCGGGGTTTATGATCTAGACACGTAGCTTGAGGAGGTCCTGTTGGGGCCCAGCCTGGGGCGCGAGCAGCGGAGTACATGGATACCCCATTAGCCGAACCAACGGGTAGAACGGAGTAACTGGGAGAGATTCGAAGTGTTTCAGGAGCTCAGCAGAGAAACAGATCAGAGAGGCAGGGGATCAGAGAAGGGCGAGATAGGTGGACGTGGCTTTAGCACTGGGGAAGCATTCCGTTTGGAAGGGACGGAGGGAGACGAGTCTGGCGCCGTATTTGGTTGATCTGTGAATGCAGGATGGAGTTGTGTTACACTTTCCTCTGTGTAACTGAGACGGAGAAAAGAGAAAGAAAGAATTCGCTCAAAATACAATCAATGAGGCCTGGAGGGACTGCCACCCATCAGGGGAGCAGCAGCCCCCATCCAAAATCAGCCTTTCTTTTTATTGACAAGGAAGTTTCACAAGAAAAATCAGTTGGGGCCGGCCCGTGGCGCACTCAGTAGAGTGCGGTGGCGCTCCCGCCGAGGGTTCGGATCCCATATAGAGACCTGTCCGCTCACTGGTTGAGCGCGGTGCGGGCACGACACCGAGGGTTGCGATCCCGTTACCGGTCAAGAAAAGAGACAAAAAGGAAAAAAAAAAATCAGTTGATTCAATCATCAAAGAAGGACATAAAGACAGGCAGTGTAAAGCTAGTAACAGCAGTAAATTAACAATGTGACATTCCAGAATGTAATTTGTAAAAAGCTAGGTTAATTCACCAATAAAGAGCTTGTCCTTAGTAAACATTTTCTTTTTTTTTTTTTAAAAGATGACCGGCAAGGGGATCTTAACCCTTGATTTGGTGTTGTCAGCACCACACTCACCCAGTGAGCTAACTGGCCATCCCGATATGGGATCCGAACCCGGGGCCTTGGTGTTATCAGCACCACACTCTCCCGAGTGAGCCACGGGCCGGCCCCGTAAACATTTTCTTTTTCACATACTTCCTACAGCAATTTCCTTAGCATATTTAAACAGCATTCAAGCAGTTTCCTTAACATATTTCTAGAACAATCAGTAGGTTAAATAGTCAATAGTCATTCAAGCCGGAATCAAACCAGCAACCTAAAACAGTCAAAGCACACAATTCCATCCCTAAACAGTGATTAGGATTGATTAGATGGCTTTTGCCAACCTTATCTGTGGACTTTTGTCCTCTATTCAAGAACCTTTTGACTCATTCATTCATTACCTAAAAATCCTATTCTAAGATAAAAGGAGAATCAAGATTTCTAACTCACTACATCGTTGAATAGCTCCACTAGGTAGCTGGAAGCCACTGAGGTTTTTAGTTTTATTTTTTTATTGTACATATTTATAGGGTACAGAGTGATATTTTAATATATGCATACAATGTGTGATGTTCAAATCGGGCTCATTATCATTTCTTTGTGTTGAGAACATTTGAACTCTTTCAGCCATTTGAAATTATACAATAAATTATTGTTGATTGTAGACACCTAGCACTGCTAGAGAGCACTAGAACTTACTCTTATCTAGCTGTAAGCTTATATCCATTAACCAATCTCTCCCTATCCCCCCCTCCACTCTTCTCAGCCTCTAGAACCTGCAATTCTACTCTCTCCTTCTATGAGCTCCACTTTATTCACTTCCACTATGAGTGAGAACATGTGGTATTTATCAGTTCAGTGCCTGACTGATTTCACGTAATGTAATGACTTCCAGGCTCATCCATGTTGTGACAGGATTTCATTCTTTTTTATGGCTGAATAGTATTCTAAGGATATATACCACATTTTCTTTGATCAATCAACTGCTGATGGACACCTAGGATGATTCCATATTTTGGCTATTGTGAATAGTGTGCTGCAATAAACATGGGGTGCAGATATCTCTTCGGCATGCTAATTTCCTTTCCTTTGGATTTCCAATTTCCAATCCCAGTAGTGGGATTGCTGGATTATATGGTAGTTCTATACGTAGTTTTTTGAGGAACCTCCATACTGTTTTCCATAATGGCTGTACTAATTTATATTCCTCCCCACAGTGTGTAAGAATTCCCTTTTCTCTACATCCTCACCAGCATTTGTTATTTTTTGTCTTTTTGATAATAGTCATTCTAACTGGAGTGAGATGATATCTGATTGTGGTTTTGATTTTCATTTCCCCGATGGTTAGTGATATTGAGCATTTTTTCATAACGTGGTGGCCTGACTTCAAAGTATACTACAAAGCTATATAGTAACCAAAACAGCATGATGCTGACACCAAGCTTTTTGATTTGTGGTGTCAGACTAAAGGTGTGTTTCTGGAAAATTGGCAATATAAGCTAGTATGAGGCTGGATTGGAAGTGAAGAGGCTGGGAATAAGGAGAGGAGTGGGGAAGCTATGGTATCTTCTCAAGGGTGAGGCAACCAATACAGACAATAGACAAAAAATAACAAATGCTAGTGAGGATGCAGGGAATTGAACCTGGAAGCTGTAAGGAGAGTGGAAAGAAAAGAATTCTTTCTGGAAGATGGGGAGATTAGCCAGTTTTGTGAAAAACAGGGAAGTCAAGAAGAAGGGAAAGGTGGTGGGTTTGTGTTTTCATGAGGCAGCAATGGATTGATTGTTCCTGGGGGTATTGTGGGGGTGTGGGGAAGGCAGTGGGAATGTGGGGAATCACATGTATTAATAAGAATTGGGGAGGAGGCAAGTAAGATGGAAGATGAGGTCGCTGAGAGCTGGGAGGAAGTGGCAGACAGCGGGGAAATCCAAATTTCCCAAAGTGCCCACTATAATTCAGGATGATAGCCTTCCCATGGGCCTCCTCCACAGATCCCCATCCTTAAGAGGCCCACCAGCAACGGTGTGGTCAGCATCCCCAACTCCACCCGCAGGACAGCCCTTCCAGTCAAGTCCCTTGCACAGACGAAGGCAGAGTACTCCGAGGCCTGGAAGCAGATCCTGGGCAGCACCAGCCCTGAAGAGGAACAAGAGAAACCCTCCTCTACAGGCCAACCAGGATCTCCCAACCTGAAGACAACAGGTGGCCTAATAATGTGATCAGAGAGCCTCTGGGTTCTGATGGGTCATAAGGCTTCAAACAGGGCAGATGGCAAGAAAGGAAGCCACCACTGCTTCCATCTCTGCCTACTGGGTGGTTGGCCACGAGTCACACTGTGTGGCAGACAGCTGGACTTGAGCAGAGGGAACAACCTGATTTACTTGCACTGTGATCCCTCTTGCTGTGCCCACTGTGACCTTGAACCCCATGTACTGTGATCTCTTCTGTTCCCCACTTCCCACTTCGATTGGCACGTTGACAAGGGCTGTCCCAAGTCAATGTAAAGGGCAAGAAAGTGGTTTAGGGGAGGTTTGGGGGGACCCAGTAAAAACTCAGAGTAGAGAGTCAGATAGTGCCACTTGGCCACTTGGTGTAAAGCCAGTGCCAGTGATAATGGTTTATCATGCTTATTAATTTGGGATTTTGAAACACAAAAGAGTACTCACTCCCACCCACCCCCAAGTGCAGGTCTTCATTTAGAAAGTAAGTTCCACTTTAAAAAAAAAATGAAAAAATAAATAAATAAAAATAAAAATTTTTTTTAAAAATGAATAAGTTGTAGGAATTCTAGGAATCCTGGCAGTTTTTAGGGAACTTAGGAATTTAATAAGAAGTAAAGTCAACTTTTTGTGAAAATCCTCCAAATCAGGAGGAAATAATTTCCTTTTAACTCTAAGGCTTACTCAATGAGGTGTTATGGTTGAATTATATCCCTCAAAAAATATATATGAAGTCCTAACTCAGAATGTGGCCTTGGAAATAAAGTCATTATAGATGTAGTTAGTTAAAATGAGGTCACACTGGACTGGGGCAAGGGCTAATCCAATGTGTCTTGTTCTCATGAGAAGACGGCCATGTGAATGCAATAATGCAGAGATTGGAGGGATGAATCTATAGGCCAAGGGAGGCCAAGGGAGGCCAAGGGCTGCCAGCAGCCAGCGGAAGCTAGGAGAGAGGCATGGACAGATTTCCCTCAGGACCATCAGAAGGAATCAACCCTGCTAACACCTTGGTTTCAAACTTCTACTCTCCTGAACTGTGAGAGAAGAAATTTTTGTTGTTTTAATTCACCACTTTCTGGTAATTTGTCACAGCAACCTTAGGAAACTAATACACGAGGCCACAGGAGTCCTGGTGATGCTTTCAGATGTGGTGTGGTTCACTGGCAAGACACAATTTATCGCATATTAACTATCACCTTACGTAGGTTCTCATCACTTCTGAACCTCAGTTTCCTTATTTGTAAAACAGAGAAAATGGTACCCACCGCACAGGCCTGCTTGGAGGATTGACAGAGACTGGATGCTGAGAACCCAGCACATGAGGGTTCAATAAATGTTAGTTTCCCCATTAAAGCATCACTTCTGAAGAACTAATTATTAATGACCTTTAGGGAAGTGCAGTCATTCCTCAGAGCATTCATTCAGAATTATACTTTGACGAGAGGCTAGAAGTGACATGATTTACTGTAAACCAGAATCAGTGCCTTCAAAATGAAAGTCATCATCTTCCCCCTGAAACAAGCTTCTGCTCACTTCTCTGTTTTGTTGCCCAGATGCAGATGTCTCTGTCTCCTCCCACTTCCCCCATCATGTCTAGCCTGTCATCTAGTTTCT